GATCAGTTATTTTGAACATACGTAAAATTCTTACTGATCAATTTAATGTCGTATATATGTTGTTAATCTTATATAAGAAATCACGTGTTATAAAAAAAAAAAGATAAAAAAGTTAAAAGCAAAGAGTTACTTTTTAAAATAGTGTAATTTGTGGTTATTTTTATTATGTATGAGTAATCTTACTTATTCTTATTATGAATAAGACAATGAAACTCTAGACTTTAATAAACTGAAATAATTGTAACTTCAGGACCCAAATGGAAAATATTCGATCAGAGATGATAATGTTTTGTTTTTTTTCAGTAAATGGGAAACCAACAATCCTGTTTTCTCCGTAATTTGTACTACGTCTCGGCTCATTAATTGGATTTATTGCTAATTTAGACTAAAACTTTCCTTTGTAATAGGTGAGAACAGTAGGATGTAATGTAGTAATCGTGAGAAAGGTTAACTAGCTAACAGACTGTCCCCAGTGGCAGAGCGATATGTCTGAAGGCTTATAACGCTTAAAAACTTCGATACCCGTGGTAGCCACAGCACAGACAGCCCATTGTGTAGCTTTGTGCTTAACTACAAACAAACAAATAAAGCTAACATCGTGGATTTAATTGATAAGAATAAATTGAAAGGGTTAAATGACAAAACGAAAAAATTAAGCAAGTTGTGCAGCAAATATTAGTGCTTAAGTGTAACAATGAAACTAAATTGCAAATGAACATTTTTAGGCTAAACGGAAGAAAAACTGGGTCTGGAAATAAACTGTTGGGCTTGCTTAGACTGGGACTCTACAAATCGCAACATTGCTGATTCGAGATGTACAGCCCCTCAGTGGCACAGCGGTATGTCTGCGGACTTACAACGCTAGAATCCGGGTTTCGATACCTGTGGTGGGCTAGTACAGATAGCCCATTGTGTAGCTTTGTGCTTAATTACAAACAATCGAGATGTACACTTGTAGCATTCTCATATAAACTGATATCCTCGCGAATATCAGATTTGTCCGCTTACTAACTGAAGTGAAACAATTTATTTATTACAAAGCAAAAATCAGCATGCGTACTTGCGTAGACAAATGGACAATCGCCTCTATTGGATCAGAGAATAGATCTTCACCTTTATGCAGAATTTTTAAAAAACATTTACTATAATTAAAACCACATTACTCCATAATAACACAACAATGGGACTTTCTTTAAAACATCTCAGGGTGCAATATTATCTGATTATACCTTATGTTGCAGTGACAATCCGGTGGACACTGGTATGGATGGGATTGCAGTAGGAAGTAGGACTACTCATCCTCTTCGATTCTATAGATATTATCTGTTCTGAACAACTCATACTTACTGTCTACTTTGCACCTCGGGCCACCAACCTTGCTACTATCTAGGTTCAATGTGGAAATCCTTTCCCTCATAATTTCTTCCTATTCTGGGTCATACTTTTTGAAGCTATGTTGTTATAGCTGATATTAGTTATCATAGTAGAACCCCTTCTGAATTACGTCATTTTATATAACCTTTGAATATATCCTTGTTAAGAATTTGTTGCAGACCATCACCTATTGCGACATACACAAGCTGGATTTTATCCTCTCCTCTTTACACAGGATCAACTTCTCTGCCTCTCAGACACCATTATCAATCATTTTAATACAAATACATCTTTTGTATGATATTCTTTCATTTTGAAAAGGCTTTTGATTCAGTCTGACATGGTAGCCTGATCTTCAAGCCAAATTCTGTGTCTATTTCTTATGTTCATGTCATAAATTCATTCCTTGTGAAACAGCAGGCTGTTATATCTCTAGAAGACACATTTTCAAGACCCTTTACCCTCCATCTAGATGTTCCACAAGGTTCAATTCTTTCACCAATCCTCTATATCCTGTACATTTCCAATATGTCACAGCCTCGACATTCAGCATGGACTTTTCCGTATGCTGATGATACTGCTATAGTGGCTACATGCTCGACCATGTTTATCTTAAACAGTTTCTACAAGTCAGTTATTTCCTTCTTTGGTGCAGACACGAACAACTTATAATCGATCCTCATAACACCAAAGCTATTCTGTTTGTTTCAATCAAAAAGAAATATCGACCATGCCGAAATCCTGATCTCTATAATATCAAGTAGACTATGTTCCTATACAACTGCCTGATACGTTAAATATTTGGGCATCACCTTCGATAAGAACTTGACATGGAAAGCACACATTACAACAATCAACTTCAATGTCACACAAAAGTTCATTCTTCTCCAGTTTCTGACTGGAGCTATTCGATATTTGAATCCACCTCTTATCTATTCTTATAAGGCCTTCCTTCGTCCTTGTATTAACTATATTCATACTTTGTGGATACATTCCTTTCCCTTTTATGAATGACTTATGGTGCGCCATGCAATCTGTCTGGTCTTCAAAATAAAGCTACCCACTCAAACTCAGGAGTTGTATGATTGCATCACATTTCCCAACTTTCATGTTCACCAGCTTTATCAAATATATCGCATGCTGCTTCCATACTCACAATGTCATCTTTACCGAGTTGCTAAACTCTACAGTTCATCTTCCACAAAAGGTGTTTCTTTCAGCTGAACATATCATTGACGTGTATGTAATGACTCTTCTATAGAGTGATTGAGGACATGATGTTCCACCTATGAAAAATCTGCCTCGTATATCTATCATATCTGAAGATCTTTTTGTGTTCTTTTATCTTACTTCCCACACTGCAATCATTAAAGTTTTCAACACTTGACAAGCATCATTGCACACCCTCCAGTTTCCAATTTCGAAATAAATAAAATAAATAAATAAAAACATTTCCACATGCCCATTCATTATCCATAGACACTATGCTTTGCATAACTTTCTGCTGGCCTGTCAGCCCTACGGGCTGAAATTAAATGATACTGGAAAAATACTTAAAACAATATTTAAATCAAGTCCTTTACATCAACACAAAGCAAAACATAATCAAAATAAATACATGTACAATAAAACATTCCATTCAAATATATACGCACTCACGCGCACACACATACACACACACATGAAGGAAAAATAAATAAATAAATAAAAATAATTTATTATATATATATACATATATATTTCTACATTTATCACTGGAGAGTGATACTTAGCTTCATGACGACGTAGTTCCCGAATGGACACTTATAGTAACCACAATTCCAACAGTGGACTTCAGTTTAACATTCACCATCTGCTTCATCAGTTGGGTGATGGAGAGGTGGTCATCAGTCTGTTTTCTTGGACCAACATTTTCTGTCAGTTCTAGTAATGATCTTTTATCGTGCTGGTGATCCATCAAATAATGGAATATGCTTGGGTGGTGTTGAACAACAAGGAGGTGGAACACCACTGGCTAGTTGAAGAACAAGATATTCCGAAAAATCAGGATTTAATTTTCTTAACAAAAGTCCAGATTCCAATGTAAGGTTGGGTGAATTTTTATTGTGCAAAAGTTCAGCCAAGTTCGTAAGTTAAAGTGGGTCATAAAGTGTTATTATGATCATGAACTATAATGTAAGCTATTGGTCAAGCTACACATCTACAGGTTTTGCATAGTCTCGTGTACTATATCACCCATAGAATGTGTGCTACAAAAGCATGTGAACATCCTGATCCTTGGTCTTTTACAAATTTTTACTTAACTCACTAACTGTGACCATGATGCTCTATGTTGTTCCTGCCAGACAATTGGAACATACTCTTCTACGTAGCCTCATTTTGCTTTCTATCATCAAGTTCTCACAAAGGTAGTGGCCGATTCCAGTAGAAAGAAATGGTGGTCGTGATTGCAATTGGTTCCTACATGCTTGAGCTGACTTGTGTTAGATGACACTTGTGAAGAATTTACTATTATTTGTATGTTTTAATATCGATATTTGTTTAAATTGAATTTATATTTAAAAATGTACATAACTTATACTGTTAAATATGTATTGCAAACTCCCGCCTATTCTCTAAAGTTGTAGAAGATTCTTGAGTATAAGTATGTAAACGCTTGTGTTAACGCCAGTATTGTTACATAAAACTGAAATTTCTAGAAAGCTCCACACACCTATAAATAGAACCAACGCGACACGCTAAAATATAGTATCTATTATTAGTTTGCTATAGTAAGTGTGCTATAAACTTTGGAACTATAACTGTGATTATTATAACGCTTATTAATCGAGAAACTTCAGATATTTGACCAGGAATATTTATAAAGTTCTAACATTACCAATCATTAACTTCAGTGGATTCACATCGGACATTATTACATTTTCGAAGATGTTATATAACTTCAGCGTGTAATCAGTGTGAACTTACAGAGCCAACTAGCTCCCTATTAAGTGAATTGTACCTATGTCAACTCGAAATTAACTCACTCATCGCGAATCCTCGATAAGATATCAAGGAAGTTCCAGACTAGAAATAAGGCTTTATATTGCTTGAAAGTTTGTAAAAACTTTTGTATATAAATCATTGTTCGTAATAACTATTTGCAATAACTGTTATTGTAAATTGTATTAAAAAAAGAAAACTGTGTGTATCAATCTTGTTGGCAAATATCATAAGTTGGATATATATGGGCATTTATTTAACTACTAAAACGAAATTACAATTTAACTCAGTTTTAGGATATTTGAAATCGTAATACATAACACACTAATCATTACTTTAGGTGGTTAGCTTTTGCTAAAGCTTTCATTGTCTTTCGTTAAGATGTCCATCTATTTACAAGTTGTTTACAAGATTTTAGCGAGAATTACAAAGTTTCACTATGCGGGTGTTACCGTCGGCCTCCCTCTACTACACTTACAACCTGCATTTTCATGCTTCAGTAGTGCATCTCGTAATGAAACAGTGTTCAGAAAATACTCAGTACAACGGTGTGCTTATTAAAATATTTCAATCTGTACAACTGGACATCTTCCTATCACAAAGAAATAAAGCAATTGGTATACCGTATGTATATATTTCTTATATCTAAGCCATTGCTTTAAATTTCATTTGCTACTGATAATTTCACATATTCTTTAATATTTCAACTCAATCCAGTGGAAATACCTTCTGCAAACTCTTTATGTGATACAATAGGTAAAACTGTGTTATTGGAACCAACAGGTAAAACTATCTTTCTTTCTCTCCGCTATAATGTAAGTCTTTTTGTTACATTTATCTCTTCCTGGGTATTCACTACCTGAAAAGTACTTCAATACCAAAACCGAAACAGTCTCTAACTAGTATTAATGAAAATAACATTTGTAGCAAGGTCAAAAGTCCTTTGTCTCAATAACTCTTTCATACAACCATCTCTCTCTGGCGGCAGTGTCCCTCTTTGTCGTGGTGAATCCTTCTTCATCTAGAATAAGTTATTATTTCAATAAAAACATCCCTGTAAACTATTATCAACATAACAGATCAAGGAAGAGCTAGTATGTACATTAAAAACACACAAACTCTCAATAACTCCTGTGGTCATAGTACCAAAATTTTCGTTTCTATTATACTTGTGTAATATTTGATCAAATATACTGATTTCTACGCAAGTATTGAATAACAGGAGGAGAAGTAAACAAACTGGACATGTTTGATGTTCAATGAAGCATTGTTTACTTATTACAAAGAAAAAACAGCATTTGTACTTCTTTAAACAAGTGGACAATCACCTCTACTGGATCAGTGAATAGACCTTTAGCTTTTATTTTCTGAAGATGAATTTCTGAGGAACTAAATATGATGAAAACCAAATAGAACTGAGAAAAAATAGGGGTTTTGATCTTGTAAAAAACTCATATTATATTATATCTCTTACGATAGCGTCATCAAGTGACTGGTCATTTCCGCACAGTATTTTTCAGCTGTAACATACTGACCTGACATTGTCCACTTGGCCAGCATAGTGAATTACAGTCGTTGACTCTTGTTGACGCTTGTGTGATGTTATTGCAATATCCCTTCTAGCAAAGTAGATATTATCTGCTATAGAGAACAAAGGCAGATAGAACAAACAACTTCAACGGTTTTCTGGACCACTTGTTTATACCAAAAACTGCATAGAGACTAACTAAACAAATTTTTTTTAATTGTAATAGTGGAAAACATATGCCAGTATATCACACAATTAGAAATATGGAACAAGACTCGCACCAAAATATACATCACCAATCAAAACTGCATATATATTTGAGAGCCAATTATCTATTGGCCAAGATGTGTAACAGGTATGCATGCTCTTAATAACTAAGTGAAAAGAAAACTTTCGAATTTAGCACTTACATACATAGTTTATTACTTATCATAAAGTTTCCGGGTAGACCATTCTACAGTAAGACACAGGGGTACTACAAATATTATTTTAAACATATCAGATCTATCCTAATTAGCGTGAATCCAAGGATTTATGATGCACGACCCGTTATCGCAAAAACGCGTTCCGCACTTTGAGGCTATGGGTGCAGTCTAAGAGTGTCGGTCAGACAAGAGCATTACAAAAGTTGGCGGTATGTGTTGTTGACTAGCTACCTAGCCTCTACTCGATAGTTCACAATTATGGAAGGCTATGCGCAAATAGCCTTTGTGCAGCTCTGCGCAAAATTCTGAAACAAACATCAAACTGATTACAATTTGTATAGATGTCTGAAATAAAATGAGGGGAGAGAAAAGTTGGAAATTAAGGGGATTACGAAATGTTTTCTAATTAGAGTGGTAACTGAGACCTATTGTGATGCAGTGAGAACCAAGATATGATAAAGATCAGAGATATAACACTTACCAACCTCCAAGCAGTGTTGATAAACTGAAAGGCCCTAGGTATATATATATATATATAATCAAAAATAATAATTATATCTGTTTGTGATGAACAGGTTAATTCTGTAAATTTCGAGACAACCGTGATAATGCAAGTTGTTCAACACGAAAGCGAGATCAAAGTAGGTGTCGATGGAGTTGGACACTTGCCAAAAATTGATTTTCATCTCCAAATCACGTAAATAGAATAACAGATATGTCATGTCGTATAAACTTGAGCCAGTCATATGATGCATTTAAAATTATATTGCGTTTTGAAACCTTAGATGTAGAGATAAAACAGAAATTTCATACCAGAAAAATACAAGCAAGACGTGATAGTCGACAATTCTTGTTGACGTCTGTGCGAACGAAAAAATGGGAGGAGAGAAGGTGGTAATACTGGTCTATGAATAGCTTCCCTATGTAACCAGAGTTTCGTAGGATTTGGTTTCTGGGCTTTACGATGGCATAGGTAAATCTACACAAAACAAAAAGAAAAAAATATTTCTTTTTTGGAGAAGAAAAATACGAGTCTAAACAAGACGAAAATAAATTAAGTAAATAATACTTAATCAAAATAGAAAAAGAGTCGAAAGTAATACTTACTAAATATTAAAATAAATACAAGTTAAGCTTGGGATTTCAACGCAGCTGGGCTTAAAATGCGATAACTTTGGAAAACAAATTGAATTTCAAATTCAGTAACTTTTTCCAGGTGATACTGGTACCTTTTGAAGTTGGGGTGAAAACTAATTTCAAAGTCCCAGCTAATCCTGGGAGTGGCGTCACCTTTGCTAGCTGAGTCAATCACATTTTGGAAAAGCTGGGTTGAAACAAATCGTTATTCTTACTTGACCTTTGAATTGTTAACCTCACAAAGTAAATTAATATACACCAAGGCCCAACAAACTATTGGTGACTGCTACAGAAACTACAGAGCTTAGGATCATGTCCTGTTTCAGGGCAAAATCAAAGAAAAATATACACAATTTAGTTATATATATATATGTATATCCTTTCTAATATATCAAAGTAGAAGATATAAGCATAAAAATTTAAGGAAAGTGAATATTTAAGAACCTGTTTAATACTTACAGTATTCATGAAATAATACATACCAAAAATATGTAAAAAAACTCAATAGAACCGCAATACGGAGACAAAAAAGTTATAATCACAGATGAATTGGGAGACCATATAATGGACATAATTGATACCAGACCATTATTATTTTTCTCATGTCAGAGAGAAATTTATCAAATCAAGTTAAATACTGACCTTCAGAGCACCTTTTACCTAAAAATTCATTGAATTACAAACCTGAAAGAAAAAATATATTGTATTACATTACGCAATTAAAACAAATGTACATAAACTGCTTTTATGATTAATATGATTTGTAGTCATTTATTATAAGTTTGACCAACAAGAATCGTGCAACATTTGACCTCCACCTTCGTAACCCCTAAAGAAACCAATATGTTATAATGGATAAAACATGTTAGGAAACTCCCATGTCAAGCAGAAATTACTGTATAAATTAACATAATAATGAGCATCTAACTATGAAATCTTGCTACCTATCTAAAAGGTTCAACCATGGTAATATTGAGCAATTTGCACAGAAACTATGATGTAATTATTGGTCTATAGTATTACCTCTTACCACTATTTGTGGAATTACCAATCAAAATGAGATGTAAAGACCTAAGTTCCTATATAGAATGAAAAGAAATGAAGAAATTCTTGGGGATCTTACTAGGATAAGAGGCATTTTGCTCACTTGTTATTCCCAGAAGTACACTGAACATTCATGAATTCATTGGTTCTAAAAACTCTGTCCTAATTAAAATGTAGCTAAAATCATTATTGACATATTTCTTGACGTCAGATAATTTGTAAATGAGCATTTGGGAAAAATGACATTATAAATGCACATTTAGTATCCCAGCTTAATCACCCAAACTGTTACTTAAAAATTTTAAGTACAAATTGCAGGGAGGAAAATAATTGTCTTTGAATATCTTGGCCTGAAGTTAATGGAACACACGTCGTATTAATAATGGTTTTAGTATATGTATACAATTTGCGTGATGCATCTTCATACCACATTTAGTTCTGTCAAAAGCTTGGACGAGTCTCTGACAAGGTTAATTAGTGATTCAAGTTAGATCGTTACGAATGAAGGAAGATATCTATGTATTGCTTTAGCCACAAAAAAACGACGGAAGTTTTTTTCTCCTATACATTTTTGAATTTCGATGAAATTTGCAAGTAGCTGACAACCACATTAATTTCATTTAGATTGAATAAAATATTGTATTGGACGCATACACTCACACCCTTTTGAATACTATCAAAAACTAAGAATGTTTGGGATATTAATCCATTTTTCTTTTAATTCAAGATATTATTTCAAAGAAAAATTAAACACAGATGCTATTTATTTTATCGATTACTTTATAACAAAAAGATTGAGGCGATGACATATTAACGCCTGAAGCCTGCTTAGACTATTAAAGTCGGATTGCTTTCTTTTTGTTTAGACATTCTTTATGTTAATTCTTAAATGAAAGTATACGCACAGATTAGTTCAAATGAATATCTTTGGTTTGTACCACACATGGCAAAACTGTTTTTATCTATAAAAAAGTAGGGATTTGGATCTTACAAAATATATTATATTTGTGTCAAATAAAGTACAATCAAAATTTGAATTAATAAAATCTTCATTCTTTATTCGTTCACTGCCTCCAAATTGTCCAGTATTTTTTTTCTTTTTGTCAGTTTTCTCTATTTTATGAATGAAACAGAATGACCCGTTTCTCTTGCTCAATATTTGCTTTCTTATCACTGGAGAGTTCTCTCTTCAAGTAGAAAGATGGTTGAGGAAATATCTGTTGGATCCATCCAAGATAATACTGTGGAAGTTGTCCCGGTAGGAATATTGAGCTCTTCAGTAGACAGACTTACCACTGGCAAAGTTTTCTCTGAAACCAATCAGTTGGCTGTTCTCTCCCCGATGCATTTCTAAACATGGTCATAATCATATTGGATGACCTTTGGCTTGAATGTCTGTTCTTCTGGAATCTATATACTCGTAATTATATATATATACATATATTTTTCATTACAGCATAAGGTCCTTCCCAATATATTCTTATCTTCACATATCGTCCTCTCTTGTAGCTTGAAGTTTGCAGCCTTAATGTGTCACCATAATGAAATCAATCTTATCAGCATTTACAGTATTGTAACTTTCGACCTTATCATTAGCTAATTTCAGGTTTTTCTTGTTAAAGTCATGTATAGCATTAATTGTGTTTCTTATTCTCACTGCATACTATGCGTAAGACTCTGCTGAGTAATAGTCCTTTAGGTGTGAGTGCAGTTCTTTACGAACATCACTGATGCTGGGGTGTTGCCTGTAGATTCATGTATCATTATTTAATAACTCATGAATACTAGATCTTTCTCCATGCTTTCTGACGTTCATCCACATAAATGGCTAATTGATATAAAAGTTTACATTGTATCTCTCCACCATTCCAGCAAAAGATGAATAAAGGATTTGACGTATCTTTGCAAACAAAACTGATTAAAAGTTCTGTTCCTTATCTAGGTGAAATTCCATAGGTACTCCAAACCATGAGACAAATTCAGTGACGAGTTTTCTTGCTAGAGTTTCTGTTTCCTGATTAGGAACAGCATACGCTTTCGGCCATTTGGTGAAATCGTCCATTACAAGCGCAGATCTAAAGAGGTCACAGAAGTCACGTGACCCCTTGAGAATATTTTTGGGGTCATACGATTGTGTGACCACTCCCGTGGCTTTACCATAAGGTAACACAATCAAGATATAATTGAGCCTTGTTTCTGCGCTACATTTTAAAGTCAAACGCTGTATTTCTAACTTGAAAATGATTTTTGAATGTTTATTTCATAAAAAAAACTACTAAAATTGATTTTCTAAATATCATTTTGTACGTTCATGTGCAACTCCAAAGAGTGTCTTCATCTTTCTAGTGACACGAATACTAATATGCAAAGTAAATTACTTGAAATTCTGCAAAAAAAAAAAAATTAATTTAAGCTAGTATTGCTAAGTATAAAGAAACGCCCAATGAGCTACTTCGATGCTCTGTGCACCAAACTCTGGGAAAGCTTTCCTCAATCTGCATGATTTTACGTATCTGTTTATATACTGTTATTACCTTATGAAAGTTTTACAAACATCCGAAATGTAAATGTATCAAGCATATCCTCTCTACATTGTATTAATATGTACATACATTTTTATCATAGGCCTATAAATGTGTCTTTGATTTCTTTCCTGGTCAAGTGAGCAAATATATTTTTTTTTTTACCTGCAAAAATACACTTGAGTGTTTTACATGTTATTTATTGTTTATTGCACTGTACCGTTTGATGTGTGTATTTTTGCTAAATATAATCTTCAGTTTCCTTTAAATAATAATCATCAGACTAGAGCTATAAATATTAGGTTAGGGTTTAGCTCGAGTTAAGTTAATAAAGTTAATTCTTTAATAAGTGTATTAGGCCTATAGGTTTAAAAGGCTTTGTAATTGATTACATAGGTCATAGGGTCAGGCCTAAAGTAGATAAGACCTCAGAAATAGGATAATGGTTAAAAATAATAGGATAGAATGTGCTTGATGTTCATGTTTAAGGTTATGGCAGTAGATTAAGCCTAATAGTTAGTTTATGTGAGGCTATATTTATATCTTTCCATCTCCACAAATAATAATTGGATGGGTGTAATTGTTAGGCCGTCGCTTTTAGGTTGTATATATAAATATTAGATAATTGTCAGATAGATGCTATTTTATTCCTAAAAACGGCATGTGAATTAAATTTAAATTTCTGGGGGGGGGGGGGATCGATAACATAGGCTCCTTTGACTTAAGCCTATAAATAACTGGATAACAAAGATCCCGAAAAGCCGGCCTAAACAATCGGATAACGTCAGTGATTTGTTTAATTGGGATGAACTGAGAAATCATGTCACCAAAAGTGCCCGGTTATGATCCCCTCGCCGATTTCACTAGTGATTCTACATAGAGAAACATCAAGCCCATGGGATTTATAGACCCTATCTGATAGAATGGTGTCAACAATGTGTTTTTCTATACGGCTACATAATTTTAAGAACATTAATTGTTTATATTGTATTTAATATACCACGTAACCTTCCAGCGCTCTGGACAGAAATTTCCAGGCAGCAGATCTAAGTGGCCCGTGACAGCACCCCCTATAGTTTTAATGTAATTTTATAAAACAAAAACAATAATATATTTTAAAATGTTAAGATTGAGTTTTTTGTTATTTTCAGTAATTTATTTACAAAAGTGATAC